GACCTATATAGGTAACATCTTCCATGCTGTACTGGCATATATACTTACCTAAGCCTTCAAACCTGAACTACATATATTGTCTGCCATTGCAATTTTGGAAGAATACGGGATAACAAAATTGTAATGGTGTTCTCATCCTTTCAATGCCATTTGAATCAGCATTGGGTTTGTAGCCTCACAGGGAGCTTCTTGTTTGAAAAAAATAGTTTGTGGTTTGTTAAGTAATGGAGAAGATAGTTTCCTAATTCTCATTTCAGCCAGACTTTCCTTTGATGTGAGAAGGAATTTACATCCCCAAAAAAGCAGAGTATTTTAACATTTTTAAAAAGTTCAACTCTATATATTATACACATTTTGTTTATACTTATTATTAGTTTCAAGGCACGGACAGGATTAATGTAGAAAACAATATTAGATTCACATTTCCATGCTAAGCAGTGGTTTAAACAATGGATTGCGTGCTGTGCAATGTAATTCAATTGTAGCAATATTGTAAACCATTCTTTATTTTGTCCCATGTTAAATATTAAAGGCTATTGTTTATACAGATTAGCCCAAAATCAGTTAAACCATCAGCCTCAGCTTTAAAAAGATGGTGCAGATAGAAATGGGTTCGCATATTTATTGTTTGTGATTTGTTCTATTTAATGAAGTGATTTCATTTGTTAGAAAAATGATCAATAAAGTCTCTAAAAAGTGAAGTCTTTCCTTAGAAAGATGCCTCATAAGATAAATAAAGTAAAGAGTTAGTTATAACAGTAGCCATTTGTTTGGTGAAATCAATAACTCCTAGGAGAATGTAAACACAAATCTTTCATTTTCATTTCTCACGATAATTTAACTGCAACTATGCAATGTGTGAACTTTTTTAAAAGCGGGATTTGTAAAGATTTGTTTGGACCATCTGTCTTCTTGACACGGATATCTGAACCTAACTACTGAGCTATGTTGTTTGCATTTTTGAAGTGAGAAATCAATATTTTTTTAAAAAACCAAGTTCATATTAAGTTATGTATTAGTCACTCAATCAAAGTCATTATGTCTTTTTAAAAGTAACAAGCTTGAGGGATATTTCTTAAAAAATGGAATGATATTTTTTCCTTATTGATAAAGTGGATAAATTGAGTGAAGAAAATTGAATGCAAGCAGTTCAAAATGGCTGGGTCTCGAGTCTCTAAGGAAAGACTTTATTATGCCCAGTGATACTTTCATTGGCCTGCTTATTGCCAGGCCTTCCCTGATTTTATTTTTTAAATTATTTTAAAATAATAATAGGGATAACAAAAATTATACAATACCTCTAGCACCATGAAACAAAAATATTTACCTACTCCAGGTCCTTGGGAAGCACTTAATGGATGGAAAAAATGCAAATCCAGTCTAAACAGCTGGCTGACTGTTACCAACTATTGGTCTGTTGTGAGCCGCCCAGACTCCCTATGGGACTGGGCGGCATACAAATTCTAATAAACTTGAAACTATATGACAGGAAGTACCATACTTCTAAAAATGCTTCTAGACTCATATCTTTGTTCCATTAGCAACTTTTAGAAAGCTTTTATAAAGGTGTGCTGTGCTTTCTTTGAAAATAGGCAAAGCAATAGGAGCGGAGAGCAGCAACTGCATCATTTTGTCTTTTTCAATGTGTGGGGTTTATAACTAGCCATAGCTGCTAAGGCTTATAAGAGTACCTGAATGCCAAATACGCGCATTGAACCAAAAACCCAATACTTTTGTTCAATGTCTATTAATATAACATTAAGTTAGTTCTGCAAGATCAGTCCAAATTTTGGCCTAATGTTTTATTTCTTGGATGCTTTATTCTAAATGAGACCTTATTGTTCCTTTGAATAGGTATTTGGAAGTGCTCATATGTTGCTCCAGAAATAACACTACATCCTCGATGGCAGACAATAAGATCTCTCTGTCATAAATTTACCCGTAACTCTGGACTGCAAGTAACTCAAAGGGCATTTTAGCTGCAAAATACAGATTTTTAGTTATATAATCTTTCAATTTTTGCCATGTGAAAATAAAACTGAAAATAAATGACCGTAACCTCCTCTGCTATGTACTACTCTTGTTTTCTTTTTTTGTTCAATTTCTGCCCCAAAATCTGCCTTATTACCAAAAAAAAATCCAAAATACTTCATTTGTTTTGCATAAGAGTAACATCAATATCATATCAGTGTCACCCTTAGATGCTGATTGATTGATTGACTAATTGACTTATTCTTGGTAGAATCAAATCCTGACTTTCCTGACCTAGTTCAATATTCTGATTTTATGTAAGGTAGTTAAATACTTCGTGGTCGCCCCCCCCCCCCCCCCGACTGTATTTCTCTGTAGAAACTTATAGTACAGTAGACTCCATGCTTTTATCACAGAAAATAATTTTAAGGCAGGCTGTAAATAAATTTTTAATACTTTCACACATGTCTTGCCCAATTGTTTTGACACAAAGTATGTTGTAAATTGTCAAGAAGTTTAATAATTCTAATCTAGCTAAAATTAGACTTTCTAATTAGGTTAGTATCTATTTGTCTGCGTTCCCAAAAATGTGTTACTGTTAATGATTGATAAAGCCAAACAACTCTAGCATTAAAGAGTGAAAAAGCCTTCTCCTAGAAAATTTATATTCTTAAATGTGTGGGATATAATATTTTCTAAGAGCTTTTTCTGGCAACTTGGTTTCTATTTATTAAACATCTAAAGCATATTAATACGCTATACTTTTTTCCATAAAAACTATTCTAGGGTGCTAAGAAAAATGCCTGATCTCACCAGACACATTTATAAATGAATTCTTGCTGTGTTGTCTGTGTGTGGAGTTTTTGAAGAACTTCTTCCACACTATGAAGCATCAAGGATTTCTGCATGTAATCTGCAAGTTTCTTTCTCTCTCTCTTTCAATTAAGGCTATATTGGAGAAATGAAGGAGATGAAATAGTGTATGCATGCAAATGAGAAAAAATAGCCTAACGTTCCTTGATATCTAGTACAGTACAGGGAGTCGTCAACTTCCAACCACAATTGAGCCCAAAATTTATGTTGCTAAGCGAAACATTTGTTAAGTGAATTTTGCCCCATTTTACGAGCTTTCTTGCCACAGTTGTTAAATGAATCACTGAAGTTGTTAAGTTAGTAACAGGGTTGTTAAGTGAATCTGGCTTCTCCCTTGACTTTGCTTGTCAGAAAGTCACAAAAAGTAATCATATGACCCTGGGACACTGCAACCGTCATAAATATGAGTCAGTTGCCAAGCGTCTGAGTTTTGAGCACTTGGCCAAGGGGATGTTAAAAAGGCATAAGTGCGAAAAATTATCACAAGCCACTTTTTTCAGTGCTATTGTGATTTTGAATGATCACTAAATGAACTTTTGTAAGTCAAGGACTACTTGTATATTTCACAGAATGCAGAAACACTCAACTTCAGCAGAAGCTCTTTGCTCCTGCAAGAGATTATTTGTGTTTTCTCTTCACTAATCTCATTGTTCTATCCCAAATCTCATCCCCAAGAAATAGCCACACAGTGCCCCAAGCAACTCTTCCTCTTTTCAAAGGGAAGCAGTAAGAGTAGCTCACAGTAAATCCATTCCCAAAGCAGAGGAGAAAATAATTTTTTCTTGTTAAGAACAAGCATTTGAGAGTATTATTTGCTTTTTACATTCGGTTTTGGCTTGTTGACATGTAGTCTTGGGCAGGATGAGAGGTAGGGATTTTAGAATCAAAGTGATGTTATTTCCTCATGGATAAACTCTGACTCTACAACTAACCTTTAAATAGATCTTTCAGGATTGTCCTGGAAAAAGTACTTTAAAATGACTTTTCTTTTAAGCACGTACTCTGATGTGGAATTGGAGCTGAAAACATGAGAAATAACCATCTATTGGAGACAGATGCTCTTCGCTCACCATCTTGGCCTAACTTCTTATTAACATAAGCACATACAGCTATAATTTAGTACGTTCTCTAAAACTGATTCATTAAAATTCTTTATTGTGTTGTGTGTAGAATTATTTTGTTACAGATATGATTGAATCTAATTTTTTTCTAAACATATTGAATTCTTTGTTGATTAAAAAAAATCAGCAAAATTGACCTGTGTGAGCTGGACATAACATTTTAAAATTACATTGTGATTTTTAATCTTAGGTTTCCAAATGTAATTTTGTTATAATTTTAAAAAGTTAACAGATACTATTTTCTCTCTCTATGTTTCAAGAGGTGTTATATCATTCTGAAAAAAAAAAAAAGACAAATGTTTCCATCCTTTGAATAGTAACTAGCTGAATACTAGAATCTGTTTGATCATAGAAGTGGATGATTTGTACAAAAGGGGAGGGGGAGATATAAAATTCAAACTAGGGCTTGGTACTATTTCAGTGAAAATCAGAGTCTTAGATGATGATGATGATGATGATGATGATGATGATTATTATTATTATACAATTGTATCACAGCGGCTAGTTGTTTCGCCGGATTTGGCATTGGTTACTAGTCGGGCCCCACCCAGGGGCCTAGGACGTCGTAACATATTTTCGTAATATGCGGGCAGATCCAAGCAGTGCGGCTTTTTGCATTTGACTGATGGTGATTTTGTCAATTTTTAACTTGTTTTAAATGTAATTCCAGTGCTTTTGGAATAGCACCCAGTGTGCCAATTACCAATGGTAATAATAATAATAACTGGTGGTTGTTGTTGTTGTTGTTATTATTATTTCCTTCTCTTCCCTAAATGTTCATTTCCTCCTGGTATACAGCAGAGAGTTTATTTTATCTGACATTTGAATTAGACAATTGAAGTATGAAGCATCTTGAAGTGACCATGCAAGTTCAGGGGTGAGTTTTCCTGAAAGAAACAGATCGTCTTCTGAAATACATCTTTCAGAAGTGATATATGAGTAATGGGTTCTCTTGTGCTCCAGGCATCATCCAACAACAACTTCCTTAAGTTCTTAAAGAGGTACCATACGTTTGCTTTCTTGTTTATAATGCAGGAAGAATATTCTTCGATTCTTGGATGCCGAAAGAGACATCTCAGTCGTCAAAAGCAGTTTCAAGCCCGGAGATGTAATCCACTATGTGTTAGACAGACGCCGTACACTAAATATTTCTCAGGATTTGCATAGACTCCTTCCTGAAGTTTCTCCAATGAAGAATCGTCGATTTAAGGCATGTGCTGTTGTAGGAAATTCTGGCATCCTTCTGGATAGTGGGTGTGGTAAAGAGATTGACAGCCATGAGTTTGTTATAAGGTGAGCCATTATCTTTTGCGTGACAGATTGCTTATTACTTCAACAGCAATGAACAGAAATGCTTAACGTGGAATGATAGCTCAAAATTTCTGGAATATATCTTTCACTGTATGATGCCCAAATTAAAGATGTTTCAATAGGAAAGGAACAGGACTGTCTATATATTATGAATGAGAAATTGCACTGTTGGAGACTGCAGAGAGATTGGTTTGTAGGATCTGGTTTTGTTCTTTATGCAGGCACAATCATTATTTTGATAGGGAACTGGCTCCACAAAGAGAAAATGTTTTCAATTTCCCCATCTTGCCCGTCGTCATAATAGAAAATTACCATATTTATTTATTATACATGTACTATCTATGGTTACGTTCAGATGAAACATGCTGGGGATTAGCCAAATAATTCCCATTAAGGTAATTGTTAGGATTTTGAATCTAAACTCTTATATGCTCTACTGCACTGAAAAGGCGGCTTAACTACATGCATAAATATGTTCATATATCTCATTTTAATAATTAGTTTCTTCAAAATTGAATATTATATATTATCAAAGATCAGCAAGATATCAAAATGCAGGTGAAATGAATTTAATTAAAAATAATACAACGCATTTGGGAACTAAAAAGTTAAAGGTGTTCCTGTGGGTTTTATTCCACTAGTCATGACCAATTTTAGGGCATGATTCTCATCTCCATTTGTTAAGCCAAAGAGCCAGCAAGAGACAAAGACAAAGAACTATCACATCTCTAGATTTGGAACTAAAAAAGCTAATAAAATCAATTTGATATAATTTATGCTCACTGTATTTTCTAAGTAAGAGTTTACTAGATCTATAGGTATCAAATTATGGAAGGGGAACAATCCAGTCAAAATTAAACAATATTACATTTCATATTTCAGTAATATTTGCAGACTCTTCTCCATTATATCACTAGATTAATCTTTGATGGTGCAATCCTTTCATTTTGCAGGGACTAGGTAAAATAATTGTGTTGAGCTTGTGCAAGTCTTGCACTTAATTTTATAAATTCCTTCCCCAAATATAAATAAAAATATCATCTTCTCCATCAACATTACCATAACCTTGACTTTTTTAAACTTTAGAAAGAAGTTTTGGAAGGTGGGGAAAAGAGTGGCTGTCAGGTGCAAGAGTTCTTTATTCCTTTGTGATATTTTTTTCCCCAGTAGGAATTACTCAACATCACTACTGAAATGTACGTGGCTAAGTCATCCTTCCTAAATATATAGACTAGGACATGTCACTGTTCAGTAGGTTTATTTTCTGGGTTAAGATATTTTAAATGGTGGAACATAGCTTAAAACCTGTGTACACAGACTTGGAGTTCTATAAATAAGTACAGTTTAAAAGCTGTGTAAATTACTGTTGTTCAGGCAGTTATCTTTTCAAAGTGAATGTTGTTATTTGTTCTAGGAAGTGAAAAGTTCTGTTTAAAAAAAACCTGCAGTTTTTACAGTTTCCTTGTTTTGGCTGCATTTATATCATTATTTAAAATAAGTGTTGTTTTGGTTACTTTTTCTTTAAATCAAAAGAGATTCTTCAACTCTTCCAGTCAGGGATGATGTAGCAAGGATAATGGTAGACACGTATACTTAACTCTTGGCTGAATAACCTACCATCTTGCAAAGTTTCTGAAGTGTCAGTTATAGATACATGTCAGTTATTGTTGGGGTACAAATGAGTTCAAATCCTGAAGTTTATCTAACATAATCCCATCTAATTTCTAGAATGCTTTCTGATTTTAAGGGGAACACATACAAGTGGAAAAAAATTGCGAAGTTTATATATAGGTGTATGTATATCTGTTACATGCAGAAACAGTAAATAAACATACCCATGTGTTTTTATAGATCTAGACAGATCTATAAAACACTGCAGCATTCTTGATGATCTGGTCATTGCTTCACTACGTACTATAATTTATTAAACTTTTTCTTAATGGTACCACCCGTTGTCATGATTTCAAGAGAGGTTTTCAATTACTCTTGAGCCTGGAACATCTTGTGGTGTCTTCATCTTTCCTTGTAGTCAGAATGGACTGCTGCATCGTCATTCATATATGAGATTCTGGTTATTTGTATATTGTTTCCCTTTTTGCATTAATGAAGGCAGAGGAAATGCTCATTGAATTATTTCATAGCTTGAATTTAATTCAATAATTTATTCTTTGGTATGAATTGTGAGTTGGGTTGAGTTGTATCTAGAAGATTTAGATCTTCTGCATTCCATGTATTTTTTAATCATCAATTTTATTTATTTTTATTTCTCTTTAGATGTTTTTATCCTGCCTTTATTATTTGTATAAATAACTCAAGGCAGCAAGCATACCTAACCCTCCTTCCTACTTATATTTTATCTACAACAACACTCTTGTGAAGTGAGTGAGAATGACTGGCCCAAAGTCACCCAGCTAGGTTTCATTGCTTAAGATAGGACTAGACCTCACAGTCTCCTAGTTTCTAGCCTTGGTGCCTTAACCACTAGAACAAGTTGGAAATGTCAATATATGTGATATAAGTCTTCCACATGCTGAATACTTTGTTGACATGTAAATATCAATTCCCAGAATTCCTCAATCAACATGTCTTTTGCTGAAAATTCTGGGATCTGTTGTTCATATCCAGAAGTGCTAAAACTGAGTAAGCTAGTATATAATACTATAGTATGGGGACAGGTAGCAGCATTCTAAGCCATTGTGTAACTTTTTTCCCAAAGGGCTTTTTTTCTATTGTTGTTCTCTATTGTGACAAGCCAGATCTGGATTATTTTTGGACTGCTTTTCTAGATCCAATATTGAAATAATGAGATATATGGACATGAATAATACAATAATACAATTAAATTATTAAATTAATAATACAATTAAATTTAACACAGGAAACACATATTTGTTTTTAATCTTTCTCAATTTTTATTTCTGTAAGCCGCCCGGAGTCCTCCGAGATTGGGCGGCCTATAAATTTAATAAACAGTAAATATGTTCTAGTCCACTATCTGAGGTGGCGCAGTGGTTAAATGCAGCACTGCAGGCTACTGCTAGATCAGCAGTTCAGCGGTTCAAATCTCACCGGCTCAGGGTTGACTCAGCCTTCCATCCTTCCAAGGTGGGTAAAATGAGGACCCAGATTGTTGGGGGCAATATGCTGACTCTCTGTAAACCGCTTAGAGAGGGCTGAAAGCCCTATGAAGCGGTATATAAGTCTACTGCTATTGCTATTGCTGTTATTTCCTTCCTGCTTTTTTTCTTGATGGAGATAGAGGATTGATAGATAGATGGATAGACAGACAAACAGACAGACATCCAAATATATCTGTCCTTTCTACATAATATAAAATCTTCCTTTTTATCAAGGAAATCTAACCAGAATCATAGTGTTATTTCATAATCTATGTCAGCGTTCCAAATATCATGCAGAATTAAATCAAAATCCAAGGCAGAGCTATTCTTAAAGTTCCAATTTAATAAGACAGACATGTTGGCAACTATCTGTGGAATCCCAAATCTGAAAACTTCCTGGGATTCCACCCAGTTGAAAGTTCATGATCTTATCCCCATACCCATAAATCCATCACATGGTCCAATCTTCTTCGGCCAAGCTGGCCTATTCACCCAGCTGGTTCTTGTCAGGTGCAGAGGTACGGAGAAAAAATATGACCTTGGGCTTCTAGAAAAGAATGACAACAACACATTCCACAATTCTACTCCTTTCTATTCCCCCTCCCAACTACTACACTAATGAAACAGCATAATGAAATGAGAGAGAGTGTAGCAGGCCAAAGATCCTAAAAGGGATATAACTGCAGACCTGACAATCTTCACATCTTTTGAACCTTCTCGGCAGCAAATCCAAAATTAGCTCTAGAGGTAAACATGTCTACTATCTGAGTAACAGGTATGTACACAAAACACTTTATTCTGAGCTTGAAATATAACAGCCCTAATTAAAATGTGACTTTATGTTTCAAGGATCTTATATTCCAACAGAAAAAAATTGAAATGTTTTGAGTGTTCCACTAGAGGGAATTCAAAACAAGCCTTGTCTCCCTACATTTTTAATTCTGAACTCACAAAAGTAGGTGAAGTTAGTTCATGTTGGGGTTTTTTTGAAGGGTGTTTGAGGAAGCAAAACATTAAAATTTAATACTTTTATTTAAAGGAATAAATAAAAACAAAGAAATTCCTTTCTGAGATTTATGTTGATGCATGCACATTTGGAAATTTAAGTTGAAAACAGAGAGCATTGATTGGTTTCAAAATCTGATTGTTCCTTACTGTAGAACATTTGGAACATTATGAAATGACATTCAGCTTGATATATCTATTTAAAACCAATCAATATTAACAATATCATTGGGAAGTGGTTTACATCTGTAAGGATAAATAATAACATTAAAGACCATTATTTCAGATATCTGTCATTTAGATGGAAATCTAATCATTTCAGAATGTCATGCAAAAACTCATTGTCAGCTAACATACGAGAATACCATTAGCCCTACAAATAAGACCATTCAAGTCAATATCTAACACAGTTCAAAATAGTGCAGTTTAAAAGGACTATTCTAAAGTTCTTCCGCCTGTCTTCTGTCAGCCTTCTGAGGTGGTCCAGTCAAGAAGCAAACTCAGAAGTTCTAGTTCTGTCTTTATTATAAGGTTACATTAGCAGAATCTTGCAGCCTAAAAATACATTTCTCACCCATTGCCTTTGCAGCTCAAGAAATTAGGGAAGGTCCCATTGGAGACATTTGCCATGTCCACATTTCTTTTGTGGGCTTAGGGTCTCTTCTAATTCTGTTGAATGGGACTGGAGGTTTCCTCCAAACTCCTGAAAATGCTATTTGAATGAGAGAATTAAAGAAATGACATTGGTGCATTGAATTATTTCTTTCTATATATTGTAAATATAAAGAAAAAACATCAGGACATATTTTTCTCAGAAGGCTAAAACAAGGTTTTAATACAAAACTAAAACATGGTGCC